AGTGCAGTAAATTCGAGTGTAATAAGCGACTAAAATATGCAATTACAGCCTATCATCAACACCCCACACTTAAACCATTGCTCGTCCTCGAGAAATCAAACTACACTTTTTTTATAGACACGACCTTTTTAAACAATTCTCCTAACTCATCACACCAAGAGTATTTAAAATAGACTAAGCACAAAAGCGTAACATCTTCACCTCAGGATTTGACTCACAAGTACCACACGTTATTCACAACTCACCCACTTACTCTAATATAGTGGTGACTGACATTACCTTTCCTTCATGAATCAAGTGCCCTCACACAACAAAAGAGAGTAGTTCCACACAATAAAATTTAAGAACACTTAGGAACTCAAGATAGAAAGAATTCACTCACTCTCAGAAATAACATTCATATGCCACGAAAGATGCACCATAAGCTTGCCCGTAGTGTACTACTCCACTAATCGAGCTCATTCAATCTTGGATCAATTAGGACTTTATTTGGTTGTAATGTAGGCTACGGGACGGGTAGGATACATTTAGATATAAGGGTGACTACACCTCCCTAAGCACTTTAATACATATACTTTAACATTCAAACCCCATACTTATGTCAAACCAAACTCCACCTTCACATCAATGTATATTACCCCATACTTCTTTAAGCACACTTACATCAAGAGCCACCACTTATCAAGGATTTTTTTTTTAACAACAATCCAGCTATTTTTTTTTTCCAATTCAAGTAGCTCTTACTTTTTCAAAACAGTGCACCTTTCTCCTTATTTCATTAGTTCCACTCAAAAGCCAAACCAACCACCCCACACTTTAACTTTTACATAGTTCATAATAATTCACGTGCTCATGAGAGGTTACAATGGTTCAAATAGATGGTTAATTCGAACAAATGGGTAAGGCTTGTAATGTGGTTGCCAAAGAAACAGGATTACAGGCTCGAAGGGGTTAACTATGATACATAATAATTAGGCGGGTAAAATATACATATCTGGCTCAACAAAGAAATGCCTATATCACTTCCTAGACTGAATAAAACTACTATTTCGCTTTGCAAACACACGGGGCAAGTTCTAGGATCAAATGCAATGCACTGAATAACGCAAAACCTTACACACACATGGCACATAACTCACTCAGGATTGGATTCATAGACACTCTAGTCAAAGCAGTTAAGCAAAGTTAAGATCATACAATTTAAGGTACTTATACAAGAGTCAAAAACTGAGCCTAAGCGTCACAGCCAAAGTACTCACTATTCTCAAGGCATAAGAAAGTCAAGAGATATTGCTTCATTTCAAAACAAAACACAATGGCTCCTATTCCCAAAAAAAAAAAACTAACTACACCCGGTTCAAATAAAACCCTTGGAAAAGAACCGTGGTTTAAAGAAAAACCAAGGGTAATTGCTACACTACCTAACAAAATAAAAAATCTTTTTGGTATTTTCTTTAGACTTACTTCCCTCAAGAAAACTGTCTAGAAGATCCGTCATCAGGAAAAGTCCAATCTTTTAAAAAAAAACACAGCTAAAGTAGCATGAAAAATCGCCTAGACAATCTCCTCACCCCACACTTAAAATTGTGCATTGTCCCCAATGCATATCCATACATACAAGAAGGTAAAAGAAACTCCCTGGTAGGCCAAAGGCCGAAGCACTAGCAGCTCATGGGGTACTCAGACTTCTCCCAGCTTGGTCCTTCGTGCGGGTACCTCACACTTAGTTCCAACCATTTCATTTGTTGGTGCATCCTTCCAATACATTTGCTTTCCATGCTCCTAGAAAATAAAAAAATTGACACTACAAAAATAATATAATAAAAGAATATAAAAAAATAAAAGAAAGCAATAAAGCTAGGTTGCCTCCCAACGAGCGCTTGATTTAACGTCGCAGCACAACGTGAATCACTTTCTGCCTCCACTTTGAACTTATGAATCGGACCCCAAGTTTTGATTCTGCTCTATGATCATGCTCCTGGGGTGGTGGAACGAATCTGGCTGGCCCAATAAAATAATGTAGTATTCTGCACTTCTTGGCCTTTAGATGAGGTGTGTAATCCCGATTTTCTGGCAAGAAGAATTCCAGAATGTAAGCACTTTGTTCCTCATTCCTTGACTCCTCAAATGGCTCGGACGACTCTATTTCCATATCATCATCTAAACACAATGTGGAAAAATGCTTGGAGTGAGGACCAATGCGCTCAACTACATGAACATTGGGACTATCTACATGAACATTGGGACTATCTACATTCTCAACACTAATGACAATAGAGTCAACTAAATATGTATCCTCAATATCCTTGGTTGACTCTAGTATCTCTTCTACAACATCGACATCCTCAAAATCTAATGTGATTGATTGTTGGTGTTCTACTCTAGCCTCCTCCTCTAGCTCATCAATTTCTATATCTAATTCACGCTCTTCTTGGATACTATTCACAATATTGGCTTGTTGAGCACTAAAAACTTCAACCAGTTGACTCATGTGAACTTTCAAGTTGTGAATAGTTTCCTCCTACCTTTCTATCCACAGTAGTAATTTACTCTGTTGTTCCAAAATACACTTTAACATATCTTCGAGCTTCTTTAGGTCAGCTTCCCTAGGTTCTTTGTTCCTATTAACTTCACCAGAAAAAGAAGAACAATCAAAGTAAGGGGTTGGGGGAAGGTAAGAAATATAAGCACAACTGTGAAAGTGATCATCTTGACCACCACACATATCACACACATTCCACACATAAGATTGACTTGGTGCACAAAACTCGCTCTCAGGAATATTTTGATAATTTTGCCCTGGGTGGTTTCCTTCACAATATGCATAAGGAGGATCAAAAGTAGAATTACCAACAACAAAATTCTCATAATTCCATGATGTCATGTTTCTCAAATAAATAAATAAAACTAAAATAAAAAAAATCAAATAATAAAATAAAAGTTCAAACTTGAAACCTAGCAATATGTATACCTACAACTACACCGTTAGTTCCCCGGCAACGGCGCCAAAATTTGATCACGCCCAACTATGCCTTATAAAAAGGACAATGCGGTCGTTGCAAGTATAATCCGGTTTACAAGTCCGGAGTCGAATCCCACAGAGAACTAAGGTTTAGCTACAGCTGTTCACTATCACCAAGAAGACAAGCTTGAACAATTCCTAACTTATAGATATTAAGATTCTTGTGTTTAACTAATTAACTAACAAATTAAAATAGTAAATTAACAACTAACGATACTGAGGGTTAGAGAAAGATTAAGGAGGTCTAGAGTTATGATTTCCCCTATTGTCGGAATCCTTCCCGCTATGTCTTCTATAATTTCGCCTAAGTATTCTCTACCGATCATGAGCACTCTTATTACCGTAAATCTCTCCCGAGTAATTACGACAATTTACTAGACGCACTCTCCCGAGCTACGCTAGCTGGCTTTTAATACAGCTCACTTCAGATCGCACCCAAGGCTTCGTTATCCCTAATCCGCCTTTTAACCCTCGGTTATTGATCCTTCATATACTTTGGGAGTGGTGTTGTTTAACAATTACCTAAATATGCACTCTCTCCCGAGTTATGCATACTAAATAGGCACAGCTAATTGAGAGCTCTTCAACCAACCACAATATAAACGTAGTTGAACAAATAGAGAAAAGCTATGGCTCAATTATATAAAAACATAACAAGAATTTATCCTACAAAAGGTTCTATCAAAACTCTAGATAACAAATTAGTTATTCATAATAGTATGTAAAACTACAATACTAAAAGTCATAACCAACAATGAAAAATAGGAAGAGGAAGGAAAAACTTGTAGAAGAATTCTCCGCCTTGCTCCCAATGTGTTCTTGCCTCCAAGGGTGTTGTCTAACCCTAAAGTAGTGTCTCTCCGCCTCTTTAGGTCTAATTTGTGTCCAAAATATGTCCTCCTCTTGTTCTTGGCCGGCCTCCTTTGTTTAATATAGGGTTTAGGACTTAAAATCCCATGTTTTACACTTTAGTCCCTGAAATTTTCGCTTCCTGCCGCGGTTTTGCCGCGGTCGCGGTGGAACCGCGGCCAAACATGCCCTCTGATTCTTCAGTTGTCCGCGAGTACACTCTGCCGCGGTTCTGTCGCGGTCGCGGTTTTTCACCCTGTTCCGTTTGGAATTTGGAAAAACGTAAAATATGAAAGTTGTAGCCCTTTGAGTTAGCTTTCCAACCATATATTGTGGAGCCCAAATGGAGTTCTGAGCAAAAAGTTATATCTATTTTACTAGACAGTGCGCAATATGCCTCCTCAAGTCTTCGTTTGTACTTAATTATCAAATTTGACCTCCGAACACGATCCCGGCTTAATTCCTTGAGCTTTTACTCAGACTTCAAAGCTTCAAATCACTTAAATTCATTCCATAACATATATATAGCTCGGAATCACACCTCCAAGGCATAAAACACACAATTAGTGCAAAACACTAGCGATTAAAGCGCAAACTCAATTAAAGTGCAGTAAATTCAAGTGTAATAAGCGACTAAAATATGCAATTATAGCCTATCATCATGGACCGGAAGGAGTATAGAATTTAAATTAATCGAGATTCTAATGCAAATATATTAAACTCGCAAACTCCAACCTCGATATCTCCTATTCATTTCCCATTAGATTTAACTTATACATGACAATTTTAATAATGTTTATACAATCAACTTATTAATTTTAACATGTTATAGCTGATATTTTGCCTTATATTTTTTAATTTACTAATCCATATTTTATAATTGGTTACCTATTCTAATTTTTTAAATGATCTGACACTATATAACATAAATATGGAGTACTATATTCAATGCTCAACCTCCAACCTCGTATCCCCTCTTGTTTCTGTCAATTTCCAACGTGTCAAAATCTAAAGTGGTTGCTGCCACATGCAGAAGTAACTACATGAAAGTCTTATAAATAGAGTAGTGCCATATTTGGTTCATCACATAAGTTATTGGTCTACGAATCTCTCTGTATGCGGAAAAAAACTCAAAAGATCCAAAGGGATATCTCATTGTTTTTGTCTGGGAAATGGAGACCAAATCCCAGAATGGAAAGTTTCTTTCTTTGCCCCTGCTAGCTGAATATGATCAAGTTGATAAAGCTGAGAAGGGAATTGGATCGGACTCTGTTATTATCACTGGAAAAACCTCTTTTCTGAAAACCACTTTTCACGGACTTAATGCTCTGTCAGGTTCTTTTTCTTTTACCTTCTTTTTTTGTTTTTTCGGTGTGTGTTTGTTTTCTTTAATTTCTTTTTTTCTTTTGTGGAAATTTTCTTTTATCTTTGGTTCTTCTTAGCTTTTAATTCGGTGATATTGCTACTTTTGTGATTCGGTTCCGGGTTTTATGTGTTTGTTGGCCAACTTCTCTTCTGGCGGTGAAGCTAGGAATTTCTTCACGGCTGTTCAAAATTTAAGCAAAGTGAAAAAAATAGCTGATAAAGGGTGTTCAATATGTGTTATATACATCTAAAACATAATAATTTACCTAGGTATACAGTGCAATTTTTCGACGAAGGATGATTAGTTGAGCTCCCTTATAACCATGTGGCTTCGCCACTGCCCCAAAAAAAAAAAAAAAAAAACCCTTCCTTTGTTCTAATGCTCTTATAATTTGTACTAGCATATAAAGATTTAGTCGAGTATAATTATTGTACAGTGACTGTGTAAAAAGCATCAGCTCATCCAAAAGATAAAGTGTATGAAAAAATAAAGCTTGTTGCTTGCAAGAATTGTCCATAAAAAGTGTAATTACTAACATGAAAAGACGAGGATGTTATAAATCCATTACAACTATATATCATTATGAAACAAAATGCTTCCTTCCTTTAGAATCTTAGCAATTGGATAGAGTCTGTTGAAAAGAAAAATCCGTTTGTAATAACTCAAAGCTTCGAGCTTACAAAATTTATCTGTTCATTCTTTCACTAGAGTGCCTATTTGCTTGGTTATGACTTATGATATTCCCATCTTTCTGTTGAAGAGGTCATTGTCTCTTCCGTTGTCCTTATGTGATGAATATATGATAAATATATTCGTTTGAACTTCTTGTTTGTAAGGGCAGAATAGTCTTTATACATCAATGTACATTCTCTATATATCTCATGTAAATGCTTACAGTATTATAAAGAAATACAGTTGTAGGGGGGCAATTTCTGGAAGTGTTCTCTAATCATGAGTGTAGGGGGACAATTAAATGTGATCTGCTGAAATTTCTTGGAAAAGAGAAAGAGATTTTATGTGTGATACATTGATTACTAGTTTTCAAGAACAACTTCTACACTTGTATTTTGTTGGAGACTTAAACCTATTAGTAAAACTTTTCTCTTTTCAGGAGTAGGAATTTTGTCAACTCCATATGCGCTATCTTCAGGAGGTTGGTTAAGCATGATACTTCTACTCGTTATTGCATGTGTGACCTTCTACACATCCTTGTTAATAAAGAGATGTATGAATTTTGATCCTACTATAAGAAGTTATCCTGACATTGGTGATCGGGCATTTGGGAAAGCAGGAAGAATACTGGTTTCGGTTTTTATGAATCTAGAGCTTTACTTGGTCGCGACTGGTTTTTTAATTCTTGCTGGGGACAACTTGCATAATCTATTACCAGAGGTGAACTTTGGGTTTTGGGGACTTACTTTTGGTGGGAAACAAAGCTTTGTCTTGATTGTTGCTCTTGTCATATTGCCAACCGTATTGTTAAAGAACATGAGCATTCTTGCATATGTATCAGCCTCTGCAGTTTTAGCTTCTCTCGTTATTATTGGTTCGATTTTCTGGACAGCAATGTATGATGGTATTGGATTTAATAAAAAGGGAATACTTGTGAATTGGGGAGGATTCCCTACATCTTTAAGCTTATATGCCTTCTGCTATTGTGGACATCCTGTTTTCCCAACTCTGTACACTTCAATGAAAAATCAGAAGCAATTTTCTAAGGTAACACATTACAGAATAGACCATCAAATGTGTATAGGCGATTTTCCATGCTGACCTTTGGTAGTTTTATTGCAGGTAATGCTTCTTTGCTTTCTGTTCGCTACCACAACCTATGCATCGATAGCAGCTATGGGGTACTCAATGTTTGGCTCGGACGTGGAGACACAAATTACCTTGAACCTTCCAACTGAAAAGTTTAGCTCAAAATTAGCCATATACACTGCCTTGATCAGTCCAATTGCCAAGTATGCACTAATGATGACACCAATTGTCAACAGACTCGAGGAACATTTCCAGTCTTACAACGACGAAGGATCATCATCATTTAGTCCCCTGATCAGGACCACCTTGGTTATGAGCAGTGTCATTATAGCACTGGCTATACCCTTCTTTGGATATCTCATGTCACTAGTTGGAGCATTTCTTAGTGTCACTGCTTCAATTTTGCTACCATGCTTGTGCTACTTGAAGATTTCAGGCACTTACAAGAAGCTTGGATTTGAGCTGGTCATAATAGGCTTGACTGTGCTAATGGGACTCCTAATCTTAGTTACTGGTACATACACATCTTTGATAGAGATAATACAACATTTTTAGACTTTTTTTAGGCTGAATACATACGGAGACACTTAAAGTTGGCACGATTTTTCATTTAGACACCCGAACTTAGGGGTATTCCTTATGAGCACGTACATTACATGAACTTTATTTCCCGTCCTTTTTTATTTTTTTAGTTTCAAATCTGTATTTGCTGCTCGTCGCTGCTGTACGCGTCTACTAGGTTCAGGGGGCGCCGGCGGAACTGGGGTGTTCGTTGGTTGCTGCTGTGAGAAAGGGAGTGGGCAATCGCTGGGTGTTGCTGGTCGTTTTTAAGAAGAGGAGGTTGCTGTTTTGTGTGAAGGGAGTGGGCAATCGCTGGGTGTTGCTGTTTTGTGTGAAGGGAGGTGTGGCGGCGGTTTCTCGTTTGTGTGGAGGAGATCGTGGGCGGCAGATGGAGTTGGTGGTCGTTGTAGGCTGGTGTGGCTGACTGAGACGCTGATAGTGTGTAGGGTTTTTTGGTTGAAGATGGAGATGAGGGAGGGAGCGGCGGCGGCGGATTTGATTTCAATGGAGTGATGGCGGCGGCTCCGTTAAGGTTGATGGTGGCGTGGCTGTTGATGGCTCGTCGAAGAAGATGGGTCGCCGGTTTTTTGGGGTCTGTTCGGCGGCGCTGGTCTTGGGATCTATTTTATTTTGTTACTAAATAGATTTTAAAATAGTTTTTTCTTTTTTTTTTTAACTCAAAATGATATATATCCTTTTTTTATTTGTCATTCGCCACGTCAGCCGCGAGTGCATTGCACACACTTTGTAAGTTTGGCTAATTGTCAAAAAAGTGTCTAATTAGAACAAGTTTAGTGTAGTATAAATGCTCAATAAGAACAACCTTCAGTTTAGGTGTCTAAATGAAAGATGGTGCCAACCTTCACTTTAGTGTCTCTAGATGTATTCCGCCTTTTTTTTATTAGTAATTCAGTCGTTAGTTCTATAGTTTCGTGATAGTTGTTTCTGAAAGCGAAGTATAAACTCTTATGATCTGTGTAAGTGTCACAATGTTCACCATACAAGTAGTGACGTCATATTTTCAAGGCAAAAATTACAGTTGCTAACTCAAGATCCTTGGTAGGATAATTTTTTCGTGGCTCTTTAGCTGTCGGGAGGCATAAGCAATCACTCTTTTGTCTTGCATTAGGACACATTCCATACCCAATTCTCAAGGAATCGGAATAAATCACTAACCTGCCTGCACCTGTAGATAAGGTCAACAACGTATTATACAAGTTATAGTTAAGTACTTAATAGAAAATTTTAAAAGTTAGTGCTTTGGGTTGTACATAACAGATAATTTAAGGAATGAAAGCGTACACATGACCATTTTTTAGGTTGTACTGGAACGGTAAAATATGCATGGAGCAAGCGCCCCATCTATTGTTAGTTCCATGAGACATTAGTTCAATTAGGGCCTCAGGTTATCTAGGGGTTGCCTCATATTGCAGCAGTCTTCAACTTTGCTGGAGAATTGTATGCAAATGTTTAGAACCAAGTGCCAGTGTCACTAGGATACAAATCCAAAAGTACTTCCTAGAATTATGCCTGAGCTTCTTAGATTTTAAAAATATTGGAGGCATGACTAGTTAAATAAAAAGGTGTTACTATCCCTCACTTCAGACATTAAGGAAAAAGGCCTACCTTTACTGTGTATATCTCAGTAAGGGATCTGCGTCCTATCCGTTCTTATGTGCTATCAGGAAGGTCTTGTTCATTCAAGAAAAGCTTGTTTTCAGACAAAAGATGTAGGCATGTTTTGTCAGTGCATCTGCTACTTGGTTACCTTCTTTGAAACAGTGATTAACCTTTATTCCCATGCTTCTCACCATCATCTGAATATTCCCCACAAGTTTTTCCAGCATCAATGGCACCTTTATCCTGCCTGGTATAATTTGGACTATTAGTGGATAGTTCAAGAAAACAAAGAATCATGTTTGCCTTGTTCTCTCATGACCCAAACCCCACTATAGGTCGTGATGGCGACCAACGTCGCCGTTAGGCAAGCCAACGGTGAACTATCAGCTTAATTATTCATTTTATTATTTTTAAAATCATAACCCTTATTAAGTAAAGGATTCAATGTGTTTAAAAATCATGAATACTTAAAATATTAGTGAGATATAAAATAAAAGATGACAATATTAAGCCGAACCATATCAATCACTAGAGTATCCCCAAAATCCGGTATCACAAGTGCATGAGCATTTACTAAGGAGTACAATAATAATATATCTGTCCGAAATGTAAATAAGACGGGATAGAGTAAATAGTACGATGGAGACTCTGTAGGCTGCGATACGTAGCTTGGAATGCAACTCACCAAAAGTCTCCTCTTCAACTGCGCCTACGCGGCAAGATGACCACCAAATGAACCTGTTAGATCCTGCACATTTAGTACAAAAGTGTAGCATGAGTACGTAAATCAACGTGTACTCAGTAAGTATCTAGCCTAAAACCGGAAAAGCAGTGACGAGGGGTCGACATCGACACTTACTAGAGGTCCAATAAAGCAGTATGATAAATCATAAACGGATATGAGGCACAACAGTAGCAATGGGGTAAGACTGTAATTTACATAATCTTCCAAAATTTATTTTAAAGATATAAATTTGTCAATCTCGTATTCTATCTCAATATCTCAGATATATCAAGTGCCAGTATCAAACGGATAAGGAATACCATATAAAATGCCAGGCATCAGTAGAAGGAAAAATCTCGCGAATATTCGGTCTGCTAGCGATATAACGCACGATTATGCTGAGGTTGTACGGCCCGATACAGAGTGGTGTGTACACTACCGAGGGTCGACCGACACGAACCAGAGATGCATCTCAATATTGTCGCGCCCCCTTTTTCTCGCGAAATCGGGTTTATGACATTTGGGAAGATAACTCGTTCCCTTTTGGGAATTGGGTAGTCACCACCTAATGATTTAAGTGCATTAGGACACTTTTAGAAGAGCTTGATTTTGGATAACCAGAGATAGGGTAAGGGCTTGAAATTATTCCAAGGGGAAGGTGTTAGGCACCCCTCAGAATCCACTAGTGTGGTTCCCGGCCAAGCTATTGCTGTGACTTAAGATGCAAATAACACATAAACAAGTAGGACTTCAAATAAGAGGGGATTTTTCACATAAAGGTTAGAAATAAACAAAGTCGGGAAGCATTAAAGAGAGTTGATTTAGAAGAAATGTTTAAAGGATTGAAAAGAAACAAAGAAACAAAGGGAAGGGGGTCCTAGGTTTATTAATAATATGGATCACCCCACACAACATCCGATAATCACTCTGACGCGTGATGTTATCGCGTGGTCATCATATCCATATCTACCCTTTCGCACCCCTTTAAGGTATTAAAGCGCGGAATGGTCTCGTTTACTTATTGCATGCTATTACCCGTCCCAATCCTATCAGTCCCGGAGGTACTTGGGACTACTAATCCTAAAGGGAGGAGGTGTTGGGCTTATTTGTGGTTTCAAAAGGTAAAAATGCTAAGGCGACAAACAAAACACATATAGCAATTTGGGGGAGAAGCATATAAACACATAAAAGGCTCAAACAGACCTCTTTTAAGCAAAGAAAAGCACATGGTTTAGCATGTCTTACACGTACTGTTTAAGGGTTTGATTAAAAATTAAAAGCTGGGGCAGGCTGATTTATCACATATTTTCAGATAAGAAGTCCGAGTTAGGCTTACCTGCTGGTCGTAATTGATAAAGACTAATGCAGTTTAAAACTTTACCCTAAGGCTTGCCTAGGTGTGGGACAAAAGCTCCTATAGACATGATATCTACTGATTTCAGAAAAGAATGAAATAGATTGAATACATACTGATTAAGAGGGGTTACCAGATTATTAAAGAAAAGCAAACTTTAGCAAAAGTTACAGGTTCTGCAAGCATTATTACTGGTTTTAGACTCATATGCGAGTGGAAACGTTTCAGACTTGGTTGATAGTTCCTATAGGCATGCTTTCTACGCGTTGTTGATATTAAACACTTTTATAGATATGAAAAAATGCAGAAAACCTACAACATGATATCTAGGTGTTACATTTTATTACGAACGTGACATCTGATTATATTTTTGGTTATTAGGACCTATAGACAAGTTTGCCTAGTGAAAAGCGGGTATGCAAGAATCAGAAGGGACCTATAGGCATATTTTCTACATGCGTGTGCAGAAGCTATAGACATAATATCTACATGAAAGTGCAGGATCCCTATAGTCATGGCATTTAAATGAGAATGCTGAAGTTCTTATAGACATGGTAACTAAATGAGAATGCAGAAGTCCTTATAGACATGGTAACTAAATGAGAATGCAGAAATGCTTATAGGCATGTAAAATGCAAAAATATTATAGGCATGGAAACTACATGAAAAATGCAGAAATCTTATAAGCATGGTAGCTATATGAAAAAATGCTGAAATTAGAGATTCCTATAGGCAAGTTATCTACCCTTTTTACATGCATGGTTACCCCTCCCTTTTCACTAACCATCCCCAAAAGTTTATTACAAAGTTATTACAGTCCAAAGAAAATAAAGAAAATACATCAGAAATTGAAAATTACAACCAAGGAGAGCCTGATTCAGACTTCCTGTCAGAAGTATGAAGTAAACTAACTCCAAAGATCATGATTTCAAAGCCTTTCTCTCATTTGGGGTGTGTCAGAGTTCCCTAAGAGCCTCACATGAACTCCGGACAGTGCTTACACCCAAATACATTATCAGATTAGGACATAGTGCAATGTGGAAGAGCCAACCCTCAAGTGTCAAGTTCAGAGGGAACTCAGGGTCCCAAGGCAAGGCTCACAGGAGGGGGGCAGAACCTAGGAACTAAGAGAGAGTGCAAGTGCAGGATTCTGAAAGGGGAAAGGGGAAAGGGAAACAGTTCACATTGATACACATATGGGCATAGGGAATGGGGAGATAGTAAAGGAAAAGCAAAGGCAGGCTGGTGGGGCATACTCAGCAATGAGGAATGCTGGCCTACCCCATAAGCCTGTTAGAATACATT